TTTTTTTTTTTTTTTCAAATAAACATTATCGACTGTGTTGAGATTTTTAAGCTTCTTTCACTTACCCTTTAAAAAAGAAGAAGAAAAAAGGGAACAAAGACTTGTCTACTACGTTAGTGCTGTTAGTCAAGAAAAAAAAGAAGCAAATTTAGTAGCAACTAATCGGAGAATCCTCTCTTAATATTAATCAGTAGTTGTTTGAAAGGCCTAGCCTTTTTTTTTTCTTGCTCAAACCGCCAAGAAATTAATTTATTAGCAACTTTCCTCTTCTTTGTTTTATTATTATAACAGTTCACTTTTTTCACTTTCCTCTTCTTTGTTTTATTATTATAACAGTTATTACTTGGCTACAGTTGATTTGGATGATAGGGACGACAATAACGTTAACTGGTGTGCAATGGCTGAGAACGGCACTCTTCTCGATTCTTAATGGATCGCACTCCGTACACTAGGAAGAAAGTGTTGTAGATTGAATCAAGTGAAACGGTTTCTATTATTTCAACTTTGCCGTCTTTTTCTTCTCCTTCCAATTTTTTTGTTCTTCCAATTTTTAATCATATTTCGTTGACCAGACATGAACATATAATCTGTGAGGAAATGTCATGTCGGCATTGTCTTGAAGAATATTTTATTTTAGAGAACTCTAAACTTTGAACAAAAAATTAGAAGGAAAAATGGCAAATAGAAGATGGAAATATTTTGAAAGCTATTTTATCAATCGTTTCCATTTTCTGTTTGTTTTTGGTTTTCTGTTTAGCTTTTTTTTGTTCGTTATAACAGTTGACGCGTATTTACCGCTATTATCAACAAAGGCAAATAAGAAAAAAAAAAACAAAACAAAACAAAACAAAACAGAAAAAAAATAGAAGAAAAAAGTTAGCAACTAACCGGTTGACAGCAATAAACTGGTTTCTGTTGTTTCTTCTTGTAATACCGTTAGCCCATTAGACAAAAGTGAAATCGAGACAAATCAATGGTACGAGCTGTGAATTGTTTGATCAATGTGGACAATTGGATGGATTGACGTTGAGGTAGTAGTCAAGTTGTCGCTTTTCTACGGACTTACTATAAAGTTTATCATCACCTTTTCGTGTTCTATAACTCCGTATGTTTTTGCTGTTCAGTAGGTGTTCAGTTCTTGCGGGATTAATTTATGCCTGCAACTTGATGTCGCAGTATCAGACTTAATAGGATGATGTTGTTTGACATAGGTAATCTTGTTGACCAATACATGCAGTGATTAGGCGACAGAGACAACATTCACGTCATCAGGACGGCAAAAAAAAAAAATGACAGCAAATCAACTGGATATCAGTTAAGAAGAATTTCGATGGATGAGTATTATCATCAGAAAATAAACAGCTGTAAAGGCAAATAAACTGCGGATAACAGACAAAAACAGACATAGAAAGGCAGGGATAAAGAGAAGCGAGGCGAGGGGACTGCAGGGGAGGCGGCAACAGCTGCCGAATTGCTGCTGTCCATTGGTGATAGCAGTGTACGCAAAAACCGGTTATTATTCACGTCCAAATGATCGTGGTGGCTATCGTTGAAGCTCTGTTCGGGTTGGTTTTCTGGAGACATTTCAGTGATTTTTTTTCACCAATTTGGTATCATTTCTTTTTTTTTTTTTTGAATAAGCGTACAAATATGAAGACAAAGTGATACTATGGAATGATCCGTATGAAAAATGATTGGAGGGAAAAGAAGTGAATGAATGTGTTGTTTTTTTTTGCTTGTTTGTTTGTTTTAAATAAGTGTAAATTGTCGATGAATTAGTGACGGATGTTGAAACTAAATAAGAGGATGTAGGAGGGAGGGGAAGAAGGAGAAGAAAAAAAAAGAGTTTTACAGAAGTCCTGTCTGTATAAGGCGTCATATTGTCTATTGTATTTGATAGCAGCAGCGGTTGGGATAGCCTGGCCAAGATTGGCAGTAAAGTTCGTCATAAATGTAAGTGTATAGTGATGAAGAAAGAGTTTGATAAATTTATTATATCAATATATTTCACCATATATCTTTATGACTTTTGAATGTGGTAAAAAAAAAAAAAAAAAGAGCGAAGAGGAAAAGTTAAAAATTCTCAAATTTTTTGAGGTTTTTTTTTTTTTTTCTTTTGTAAATAAAGATTATTGAAGAGAAACATTATTG